GTGGAGCATAGAACCTAGCACTGATAGTTTCATAGAGTCGAGTGCTGCCACAATGCCCTAGCAGTAGGTGGTACCATCTGAGGGTCTTATCCACCAAGCCATCGGGCAAGTAAATCTTCCAGTTGTCATTATTCATGGATACTGTGATTAAATCAAAGGTTCCTATCCTCCTCTTAACATAACGTTGATCTGTTTCAAGCAGGTGTTGGCACTGAGGGTCCGTGAGTTGATAGGTATAAAGACTCGCGTTTGTTATTGGGTTCTCCATTTCTGATACTGGTGGTAAATTGAGTAAACACTCATATAGTTCTGGTTCCAAGTAGAATACATCTTCTGGATCCACTTGAGCTGCCAACTCCTTGAAATTCACCATAGTTCCTTTCTTTTTCTCATAAATTTTCTTCTCTTTATCCCCGACAGTGCACCGATCCATTCTGGGCACGCGAGAGAAACAATCTGCAAGAACATTCTTCTTGCCTGGGATATATTTCCATTTAATATCAAAGCCTTCCAGGCTTAGTTTCCATCTGAGAACCCGGGATTGAGACAKGGTCCGGAAGATGAGATTTTTATGATCAGTGTAGATGATGATTTTGCCACCGTATAGCATATTTCGATACTCTTTGAGGCACAGGATGATAGCTAAGAGCTCCTTTTCCATTGTGGTGTAATTCATTTGGGTTTTGTTCAGTTTCTTAGACCAATATGCAATCAGTTTGTCATTCTGGAGTATTGCTGCGCCCAATTGATAATGAGATGCATCAGTGTAAATATGGAAGGGCTCTTCCAAATCAGCAAAGGTGTTAATAGCATCATGTGCGAGAAGAGCTTTCATCTCTTGAAAGGTGTGATTACATGCAGGGGTTCACACATAGGGTCCTGAGCCATTGAGTGCAGTCAGTGGGGCCAATACATGTGATCGGCGCGGCCACATGGATTTGTAGTAGTTCACTGCACCAAGGAAAGGCCGGACCTGTGATTGGTTTTGTGGGATTCCCATCTTGAGGATTCCATCTACTTTCTTTTGCCAAGGCTTGACTCCTGTCGGCGTGAGCCAATAGCCAAGGAAGTCAGACTCCTTCACTGCCCACTCACACTTGAGTGGATTGCATTTCATCCCATTGGAGGCCAATTGTTCCAAGACTGGGTCAACCAAGGAAAGGTGTTTTCTGAATGGTCCACGAGACCAGATTCCCATATCATCAATATATACTTCTACATCTAGACCAGATAGGATCTTTGTGATGAAGGCTTGAGCATAGTCGGGCGACGACTTGAGTCCCATAGGTAATCTTAAGCACCTGTAGTTGCCGTGTGTGGTAGTGAGAGTGCATATTTTCTGGCTCTCCTCATCTAGCTCAAAGCAATAGAACATCATGGAGAGATCAATCTTAGTGAAATGATGGTACCGTGTTCTTCGGTTCATGATGTCTTGGATTTTGGGGAGATTGAACTGAGGTCTCTTGATCCTCTTGTTTAATTTTCTCAGATCGACAAGCCATCGAACTCGGCCATC